TAATTACTGTAATGGGCAATAAGACTAGAATGATGAACTCTGGGCCCTGACCTAAGTATATCTGAGGCCATGTATAATAGATTTTGGTTCTCCTAGTGGTGATATAGGAGGGGCAGACAATGAGAGCATATATTGCATTATACAATAAAAAATATCAAGAGCTGGTGATCAGCATACTGATGCCAACTTCTGCAGTGGACATCTCTTGTCCAGTTTTCAAATCCTGAGTCAGATCATTGAGTGAGCCATTTCCAATGGAAGGAAAAATGAGGTGCCTTTCAGGAAACACCATGCAATGTCACCACAAATATATGCAAAAATAACCCTTACCTTGTTTCCCCCAACTGGGCCTTGTTTCCCCAAGATTCTTGTTCCCCAAATGAATATATAATACATTGAGGGTAACCACATAATGGGAGAAGGGGGAATATTCAGATCTTTTGAAGACTATCAGATGCAAGGTCTGACCTCACAGAGACACCACAAAATGTCCCATGAAGGAGACCATGTTAATGAAGAAAATTCTGATCCCAGGGCATCTCAAAATGGGTCCAATAAGTCTGTGTACCACACTTTGGTAACTTCCTTGGCTCCCAAGTAAATAAATTCAGAAGATGACAGGGCCTGCATAATGATTCTTTGATCTGTGAAGTAAGTTATAATAGCAAAGTCCAAGTGAGAAACCCTAAATATTTCCTCCATACCCACCTATCTCTATAGTAAAACAGAAACACAAACATATTAGTTCTAGTAATAATTAATGTCGTTTTCTAATACTTTTTTTTAAATCGAATTTATTTAAACAATACAACAAAATTTAATCAACAATATAGTTGCCGTTGTTTTCTACTACTTGTGCCCAACGCTCAGGAAGCATTTTAATCCCTCTGTTGTAAAATTCTTGTGATTTTGATGCAAAAAATTCGGTCAATGCATTTTTGAGGCATTCTTCATTATTAAATTTTTTTCCAAGAAGAAAGTTTTGCAAAGAACGAAACAAATGGTAATCGGAAGGGACAATATCAGGAGAATATGCAGGTTGAGGGAGAACTTCCCATTCCAACTGGCGCAGTTTTTCAGCAGTGATTCTTGCAGTATGCGGTCGTGCGTTATCGTGGTGAAGAATTATGCCCTTCCGATTAATCAGCGCGGGTTCTTTTTCTCTTAAAGCTTGGGCTAACCTTTCCAATTGGGCACTATACACTGCACTTGTAATGGTTTGGTTAGATGGTAAAAGTTCATAATGAAGAATTCCTTTAAAATTCCACCAAACACACAACATCACTTTTTTCGCATGCAAGTCAGGTTTTGGCGTGGGCTGCGGAGCCTCATTTTTGTCCAACCATTGAGGCCGCCTTTTCAAATTAACATACAGCACCCATTCTTCATCTCTGGTAACAATTTGCTCTAAAAACGGCAAACGGTTTTGACGAGAGAGGAGCGAACTGCAAATTGTGACTCTTTGATTACGGTTGTTGTCGGTCAACTCATGAGGAACCCATTTTCCAAACTTTTGGACTTTGCCAAGTGCACGCAATTGATTGGAAATTGTTTTTTGTGAACAATTTAAAGTTGTCGCAAGCTCTTGTTGGGTAATTTGAGGATTTTGCACCAAAAGAGCTTGAAGAGCTTCTTGATCAAAATTGGACACACGGCCTCGACCACTCTTGTCATCTAACGAAAAATGTCCCTCGCGAAATTTCTCAAACCAACGCTGGCATTTTCTGGCGCTAACTGCATCTTGACCAAGAGCACTACAGATGTTTTTTGCAGCCTCACTTGCTTTTCTTCCTAATTGGAACTCGTAAAGCATGCAGTGCCGAATATGCTCTTCATCCGCCATCTTCTTAGCCCTAGTTTTGCAACAAAAACCAAACCAAACACAAACTTTTTCAAGCAAAACTTGTTAATTGCACTTCACACGTTCTGTAGATACCACGTGTTTGAAGGTTATGTCAATACAAGTCAACGCCAAGCAAGATTTTAAACGAATGTTTAAAAACGACATTAATTATTACTAGACCCGATATCATGAATGAAGCAGCAGAGATTAATGCCACCACTTAATGGCTGCAGGTGGCGATCCACATCCTATTCCCATTTAGTTCCATAGTATTTCTACAACAAAGAATCAAATGTGTCTTTGTGAGTGATAGTGAATTATCATCAACTTGCATAAATAAAAACTCCAGTCATGTGTACTGTGTTAGATATAGTAACTTCACTCGAAGAGAACATCAAGAAAACCTAACAATCCCCAAATATCAGATATATATCATAGCAATATCTTTACCAACACAGCTCCTAGGGCAATGGAAACTAAGGAGAAAATAAACAAATGGGATTACATCAAAATAAAAAGCTTCTGCATAGCAAAAGAAACCATCAAAAAAACAAAAAAGTCCACTCCATGGGAAAACATACTTGGCAATGTTACCAATATATCCAATAAGGGTCTAATCTCCAAAATGTATAGGGAACTCATACATCTTAAGAAGATAAACAATCAAATAATAAAATGGGCAAAAGACCTAAATAGACACTTTTTGAAAGTGGACATACAGAAAGCCAAGAGACATATGAAAACATGCTCAAATTCACTAATCACCTGAGAGGTGCAAATCAAAATGACAATGAGGTACCATCTCACAAGTATCAGAATGGCTATCATCAACAAATCAATAAACAACAAGTGCTGGCGAGGATGTGGAGAAAAAGGAACCCATGTGCACTGCTGATGGGAATACAGACTGGTGCAACCACTGTGAAAAACAGTATTGATTTTCCTAAAAAAATAAAAAATGGAACACCCATTTGACCCTGGAATCCCACTTCTAGGTATACAGCCCAAGAAATCAGAAACACCAATTAGAAAGGATATATGCACCCCTATATTCATAACAGCACAATACAATAGCTAAGATTTGTAAACAGCCTAAGTGCCCATCAGCAGATGAGTGGATTACAAAACTGGTACATCTACACAATGGAATACTATGCTGCTTTTAAAAAGAAGGAATTCTTACCATTCCCAACAGCATAGATAGACTCGGAGAATATTATGCTAAGTTCAATAAGCTAGTTGGAGAAAGATAAATATCACATGATCTTACTTATGTGTGGAATATAATGAACAACATAAACTGATGAACAAAATTAGATCCAGACACAGAGAAGCATCTAAGACATTCAAACCTCAGAGGGAAGGCAGGAGAGGGGGTAGGGGTAAGTGGAGTTGTATGCATGCATATAAGCATAACCAATGGACACAGACACTAAGGGGGTAAGGGCATGTGCTAGGGGGTGAGAGTGGCCAGGGCAAGGTCAATGGGGAAAAGTTGTGTAATATTTTAAACAATATTTTTTTTAAAAAAGAAAGAAAACCTAATAATCCTAACTGAATAGGAACACAGGCATATATAAAATTAATCAATAACAAAATTGAGAAATTGTCAGTATCAGGAAAAAAATGAATAAGGATACATTATTAGAGTTCATATAAATATAAAAAGGAAAAAGATATGGTATTATGAACACTTTATGCTAATAAACTTGAGAAAAATAAGGGAGGAAATTATGAAAAACGTAATTCACCAAAATTGACACAAGATTTAAAAAACGAAATAGTTGCCAAAATCGGTTTGGCTCAGTGAATAGAGCGTCGGCCTGCAGACTGAAAGGTCCTAGGTTCGATTCCGGTCAAGGGCAGGTACCTTGGTTGCGGGCACATCCCCGGTGGGGGGTATGCAAGAGGCAGCTGATCCATGATTCTCTCTCATTAATGTTTCTAACTCTCTATCCCTCTCTCTTCCCCTCTGTGAAAAATCAATAAAAATATATATTTTAAAAAATAAAAAACGAAATAGTTCTACCTCTGTTAAAGGGATTGAATTTGAAATCATAGATTAACAAAAGATTTCAACAGCTAATTTTCTCAAATATTTTAAAGAAAACGAAAGTACTGGATTGTTAGGAATCAGAGGTCTTAACCCTCATTAAACCTTATTTATAACTCCAAGGAAACGATTATAGGGAATGGGCAGTGTAAGTGAGGTCCAGAACCCCCAGCACTGACATTTCATATATCTGGGGATGAAGGCCCTGCCAATGCAGCCCAAAGCAAGAAAGATCTGACAGGAAATATTTGGTCCCTGGTGCTCATCCAAGCTGGCCAAGGCTTGTTCAGGCCTACAAAATAATTCGGTTTCTCTGTCTGCAAAACTGGCTTCATCACGCAGCGCTCTCCTCTCCGGGTGTTCATCCCTCAGAAACATCTTGCATTCCAAACTCCAATTTGGGGTCTGCTTCTGGAGAACTCCAACCACCAGAAGGAAGTAATTCCTGATGAATCCCTAGGGCCAGGGGAACAAAGCAAAGCTGAGCGTATTGAAAGAGCTCCTCTGCAGAACAGGGACCAAGACCCTTTAAGGAGGGCAAGTGACCAGCTCTCGCTCATGCTTCAAGAACTCAGAGGAGGATCACCCTGCTAACCCCAGCACTGAAATCACAATCTGAGGGTGTCTGTGGCCAACTGGTGCTGTTGCTTCTAAGCAAGGATGAGGGTATGAGGGTGGTTCTAACAAAGCCAACAAAACTGGAATCCCAAACCGAACATGACAAACAGAGTGAATGGCTCCAGCCAAAATGACACTAAGTGTTAACTTTTAGCACACAGGAAAGTCAACTCCTTCTTCCCTCATCCTTCATTCCAGGCTACTTCTACTGCCCCCCTTTGGCACAGCTACCTGGAAGAGAGCTGGCAAGACAGAAATGGGGTATATAGTGGCACTTCCCAGATAGCACATCTTACAATGCAAAGATGGGGGAAGGTTTAGACCTGTGTCCATTCAGGATACAGAAAGAGATGACTTCCATGGAGCATTTGAGATCTTGCTTCCAAGTATGTTGTCAATTTGGTCAAACGCATTCTTTCTAAAAATATATGTTTTTATTGATATTACAGAGAGAGCAAAGGATCTTACAGTGGGAGAGCAAGGAGCCTAAGAAATGCAGGTAGTCATGCAATCTGTTTTTGAAGTGGGTTTTAGTACCTGGGAATATAAAGAGAGACAAAGAGAGAAACATCTATGTGAGAGAGAAACATTAATTGGCTGCCTCCTGCATGCCCCCTACTGGGGATCGAGCCCGCAACCCGTACATGTGCCCTGACCAGGAATCAAAAAGGTGGCCTTTCAGTGCAGAAGATGACACCCAACCAACTGAGTCACACCAGCCAGGGCTCAAATAAATTTTTATAAAATTCTCTTTAAAAAAATAAGAGACGACTTCCAGGGGAAAAAAAAAAGAAAGAACTTTTAATATGGCTTGAAGCACTGAAGAGGAAGTAAGAACATGCTAAGAATCCTTCAGTATAATATGATCTAGACAAGAGAGGTCCTTAATTTTTTTTCTTTAAATAGTAGACATTTTTCTCTACTATTAAAAAACTAGAGATTTTTAAAATGAAGCAGGAGCCTTATTGTTCCTATTTGTTCTCAGGTTCCTCTTTTTCTTTTTCTTTCTCTACCTCTTCTTCCTTTTCTTTCTCTACCTCTTCTTCCTTTTCTTTTTCTTTCTCTACTTCTTCTTCCCTTTCTTTTTCTTTTTCTACCTCTTCTACCGCTTCTTCCTTTTCTTTTTCTTTTTCTACCTCTTCTTCCTTTTTTCTTTTCTTTTTCATCCAAAGCACAGGGAAGCAGAATAAAAATAAAGCAATCGAAGGAAAAAGCCACAAAAAAAGGTAAGACACGTTGGCCTGTGGTTGTGGTTGTGGTTGTGGTTGTGGTTGTGGTTGTCCATTCTTAGAAGGAGGTGGGCCACTATCAATACTACCTCCATCGCCTTTCTGCATGCAGTTGGGAGGTGCCCACCCCTGGCTGCAGTGGCAGTGCTGTTTATTATTGCAGACTCCCCTCGTGTGGCAGGTATCAGTCTGACAGGCTTGTGATACAAGAGGCATATTGACACATTTCTGGTTGATGCATATCTTTCCTGGACCACACACTGAGCCATCTTTCACTAGACCAATATCAGGTGTGGTTATCCCTAAATGATAATCAGTGCCCCAGCAAATGGTGAAGTTGATCTGAAGCTGATGTACTGTTGTATGTTCTGTCAGGTTAGGAATAACTGACACGTCTTCACACTGAACTCTCCCACAGAAGATATCTGAGGTATTACATTTTAGGTATTTATTACTATCTAGACCACAGTGGCCATAACGGCTTCCCTGGGAGTTGATTTCTTTGTAGCACTCCTGAGATGCACTCTTTGCATCTTCACCAAAAATCTCCCTGCACTGTCTGTCATGGCTGCTACAATTCTTTTTATAACAATAGGCTTTGTCACCACAGGGATTCCCATCTTGCACATATCCGTCTTCTGGGCACTGGTGGGATGTCCCATTGCACCACTCTGGAAGGTCACATTCACCGACCTGTGGTCTGCACAAAGCCCCTGATGGCATGAGCTTGCAGCCTTTGCAACACAGCCCAAAAGCACAAGCAGAACCAGGGCTCAGAGTGCAGTTCCACTGACAACAGGGATCTTTACCACACTGCCTTATAGATCCACAGTCACACTCCTCACCTCTTTCAACAACTCGGTTCCCACAATACTGTAACCTAAAAATATTCCTTGGATGTGGAGGAGTGTAAATACATAAACCAGATCGCATTGTAGTGTCCAAATACTGGGCATAACTGCAGTTGCTGAATTTAACTGTTGGCCGTTTCAAGGCTGACATTATGCACCACTTGGCATCACACACACACCATGCAGTGTCATGCTGCATACCCAGAGAATGACCAAGCTCATGGGCCAAAGTAAGTGCAAAAGAGTACACATTGTGGTCCCGGAAAACAGCAACTCCACTATTAAAAGGCTTCCGGCATATTCCTGCAATATAGGCAACTCCAAGCTTATTACCAAATGATTTTTTTATGATAAGATGGACATCATCATGTTGTAGTCGGCCATCAAGATTGGTAAACTTCCAGAGAGAAAAGTCGTCCAGAAGCTGATCTATGTCATCAGTGGAAACTAGGTTTCTTTGATTCCAGATCTCAACTCCAATCAAAATTACATTAAGCTTGAAAGGGCTATAGAAGATATCTACCACACTGACAAGCTCAAGTAGCTCACGCTGCACTAATGACGTATTACGTCCAGAGAAAAGGTATCGAAAGTAGTCCACAACTATTGCCAACTCAAGAAATCGCAAGTGAGTCCACCAGTTCGCATGAGAACTTTGCATCAGAGTGGACTTAGGCAACTCTTGCAACTCCAATTGGCGTGCTATTTTCTCTTCTGTCAAGCCACATCTCATAGGCGGGAACTGTATTTCATCACTATCTATCTTATACACCATGTGTTCAAATGTAGTAGAGTGCCTGATGGGCTCAATTTCATAAGCAAGGTCATTTATCTGTAGCATTCCTCGGAAACCTCCAGAACAGGTACTGAGTGCAACCAGGGACCCTGGGACCCCCTGCACATAACCATGGTAGTAGCAGTCATCAGGAACAAAAGGCTGATCCTCTTGGAGGGCATGCTGGTCTGTGTAGGTGAACACTGGTAGGTGTCTGGAAACCAGGAACTTCTTGACCCTCATGTGGATAATGTGTCTCTGGCCCCCGAACCGCAGGCTGTAGGAGAGCCAGCCTGGAGCCTTAGCACCTCGGTCCCTGCTTGTCACCTTCAAGGGAATCACGACTTCTTTGGAGAAGCGCTGAAAACGCCTAGCCTGAGAGTGGCCAGAAATGGACAGAGATACCCCAAACCAAAGCAGCAGAAGAGTGACCTTGATGTGCACCAGGGCCTCACCCACTGCCATTATGAAGCTATCAGTCCAGAACAGAGAAAGGCTGAGGCATGAGGCACTGCTGGTACAGTTCCTCCCTTTATCTGCTCAGGGTGCAGGGCTGACCTTTACAGATGTGTATCCTGGAAAAGTTGGACCCTCAGAGCTGCAGTGCTGAAAGTTGAAAATAGAGCTAAAATGGGGTGGGGAGGGGAGGGAGAGTGGGAGAGAGAGGGAGAAAGAAGAAAGTGAGGTAAAAGTGTTTCTTCAATTGGGACAAGATTTGAATCAATAAATTACCTGGAATTGCTCTTATTTATATGTAAGGGGAAAGGAAGGGGGGAGGGCAAAAGGGTAGGTTTCCATAAAAACAAATGAGACTTATCATAGTAGGTGAATTATGATTGAATCTGGATGGTAGATACATAAAGATTCATTACATACTATTTTCTAAACATGTAAATTGGCATAAACATTTCCGTATTAAAAAAGCACTGACCTCTAACTCCCACATTTTTCCTCTACTCCAAATCAACTGATACTCTGCTATCTTCAACAAGTATATGAACCCCCCATCCAAACTCACCATTTTTGGTCCCTTTATTCAAATAGTTTGTTTCATCTCCCCTTTTCTCATGCAGACATCTTATCTATTTCCCATTCTGTTTGTAGTTAGCTATCAAAGTAAGCCCCACCTAAGGGACTCATTAGTTTTGAGACCTCCTCCAATGAAAACAATTTTTAATTTTATAATGCATGCTTATCTGCAGAAAGGACCAGTTGAATGTCCAAAGAGGCAGCCATGCTGATGGAGTGATATGGGGTGGGGCTGCTAGTTGGGGGCAAGGCAAACAGCCCAATTGCCTCTCTCACAACATGAAGGCAGCAGCCTTCTCTCTACCCAGCCCTGGGCATTATGTTCTCAATCATAAGACCCTTATCTTGGTTGCACATATACAGAGTCTATTCTATGTTTTTACATGACTGATGAGTTTACTGAATTCTCTAGAGAAAGTTGGACTGAGGAGTTTAAACCTAGAATTAGTTTGTTAAATTGTTCAAAAACCATAATTTGAGTGAACTGACATCACTCCTGTTACAAATATAAATTTTAGCTCAGGCAAAAATTAATTTTTCTCATTCACTGACTTTTAGTTAAAAGTATAGATAATTTGCCTGGCTGGCGTGGCTCAGTGGTTGAGTGTTGACCTATGTACCAGAGGATCATGGTTCGATTGCTGGTCAGAGCACATTCATGGGTTGTGAATTTTATCCCCAGTAGGGGGCATGTAGGAAGCAGCTGATCAATAATTTTCTCTCACATCCATGTTTCTCTCTCCTTAAAATCAATGAAACCATTTTTTTTTTTTAAAGAACACCTGCATACATGTGAGTAATTTTTTTTTTAAGCTACACCTTATTTTTTAAAAAAATGTATTTTATTGATTTTTTACAGAGAGGAAGGGAGAGAGAGAGATAGAGAGCTAGAAACATCGATGAGAGAGAAACATCAGCCAGCTGCCTCTTGCACACCCCCTACCGGGGATGTGCCCGCAACCAAGGTACGTGCCCTTGACTGGAATCGAACCTGGGACCTTTCAGTCTGCAGACCAACGCTTTACCACTGAGCCAAACTGGCTTCGGCAATGTAGGTAATTTTTCAGAACAAATGGATGGCTACTGAAAACCAAGAATATTATTTTTAAAAAATATTTTTAATTATTTTAGAGAGGAAGAGAGAGGGGGAGAGATATAGAAGCATCAATGATGAGAGAGAATCCTTGATCAGCTGCTTCCTGAATGCCCCCTACTGGGGATAGAGTTAACAACTTGGGCATGTGCCCTGATTAGAATGGAACCTGGGACCCTTCAGTCCACAGGCTGCTGTTCTATCCACTGAGCTGGCTAGGTCCAAAAACCAAGAATATTAGATGAAACCTCTTTAAGAAAGCTCTCTGACACAGGTGAAATCCTAAATACCAAATTTCCTTTCCAGGTTTCTCTCCATATCCTTGGTATTTGCTATAGATCTGGAGATATTAAGATGGGTACGAATTGTTGGAAGAGGATTATCTTCTATAATAATAAAAGCATAATATGCTAATTAGACCAGACATCCTTCCAGATGACCTTCCGGATGAAACTGGAGCTTTGAGGGAAGCCTGCGTCCCAGGTGCCTGCTGGTGGCTGGAGGGAAGCCCAGGTGCCAGGTGCCAGAGGGAAGTTGGTGCTGGCAGCTGGGGGAAAGAAAGCCTATTCTTTCATGAATTTCATGCATCGGGCCTCTACTGAACAATAAAATGTTATAAAGAAAATAACCCATACTAAATTTTATCAGAAATATGATGTGGTAATAGGAAAGTTTATTGCCAAGAATCTTTGAGACATATCAGTCTTTGTCATTGCTGCATGATTCCAAAGATAAGCTCTGATGGAATATCACACCTTACCATTAATTATGTGAACTGGTGTCACTCCAAAGCCCTTCCTTTCCAGCATTATCAGCACTTCAAGTAGTGTATCCTCTATATCAATTATGAATTCTTTCACCTGCAGGATATCCCAAAAGCATGTATACACACTTTAACAGCTGACAACTCAACTGACATTTCTTTCTTTTCAGCCAGACTAAGTTTTGGACACAAGAAATTCATCCTAAAATGCTACTGGGATTTTGAAAATACAGTTGAAGTACAAACACTGCCTGTATAATTATTTTAACAGCTGATAACTCACTTAATTTTCACTCCTTTTTAGGTTTAACTGATTTTAAATAATGGCTGAAGCCAGACTAAGCTTTGAATAAAGAAAATTTATCCACTAGATCAGTGGTCGACAAACTCATTAGTCACCAGAGCCAAATATCAACAGTACAACGATTGAAATTTCTTTGGAGAGCCAAATTTTTTAAATTTAAACTTCTTCTAATGCCACTTCTTCAAAATAGACTCACCCAGGCCATGGTATTTTGTGGAAGAGCTACACTCAAGGGGCCAAAGAGCACATGCTAGACTTTTTTATGGGGACAATAAAAGATAAAGTTTGTGGTGCAAAACCTGCAACAATTAACAAATTGAGGGCACACAAGTACTGAATGAAACTGTTCTTTAAAAAAAACAAACACGCTTTTAGAGCGAGAGGGAGAGAAATATCAATGAGAAAGAAACATCATTGAAATGCTGCCTCCTGCATGCCCCCTACTGGGGACTGAGTACCTGACCTGGGGATCAAACCGGTGACTTCTTGGTTCAGGGGTTGACAATCACCCTCTGAGCCACAGTAGCCAGGCAAAATGATTCTTGATGTTTGCGATTCCATTGCTTCACGTTATCAGCAGTGCCAGGACCAGAAAGGTCACCAGTATGAAAGCAAGTGTTGACAAAAAAAAATTATTCATTTATGTAGATGCTTTTAAATTTTAAAAATGAATTGTACGTTAATAAAGATTAACTTTACAATCATTCAAAATGTGTATACATTCTTTGGGACACCCTATATTTCCAGCAGCTATAACAAACTCCTCAAAAACCCCTTCCTTACCATGTCTCCCCTCATTCTGTCATGGCCTAATTCAGTGTTTCTCAAACTTGGGTCAGAAACCATCCAGGGTCATGAATTTGATTTAGTAAGTCATAGCTAAATGAACTCCCCCCCAAAAAAACAAACAAACAAACAAACAGTTATCAGACAGCTTCATAGAGATCATGATGTCACCTGCTATTATTACCTGTCACCATAGAAGCTAGGGCAGCATTCTGCTGTCCCTTCTTATGCTATTACCAACTATTTCCTAAACTCCAAAACTACAACTTATACCTTGTCTATGAAGCTGGAGCTGAGTCTCTCCATGGTGCCTTTCTCTGTTGCTTTTTGGCTTCCTGACATTTTACCAAGAAGGGCACTAGAGGGGGAATAAAAGGCAAAAGCAGAGGCTGAGGGATTTGTTACTACCTATTGCTGTGACTATCTGTGAATCCCCAGCAATGGTGCCTTGCTCTACTGGTGAGGGTTGGTTACTACAAAGACCCAGAACCAGTTCCATCAAGCCCTGTCAAGGGTACGAGTACGGCGGGACAGGGCCCCTCCTGAGGACTGGATGTACAGAGCCATGCTCCAGTATCCGAGGCAGCCCACACCAGTCAGCCATGGTCCCTCTCTGATGTTCCAGGCCACGTCCAAAATGCCTTGACGCAAGCCCCAGGTACATGGCACCTCTCTCCGAGATCTGAGTCCCAGTTTTGGTGGAACTTCTCCCACGACCCTAAGTAACCAGCACAAACTCAGCATTACCTTATAAGCGGTACAGCTATCGGCTCCACGGTGCTCCTTTTCTGAGTTCCTAAATTACCAGGATCACCTGGGAAATGCCCAATCCTCTGTAGTCCAGGTCTAGATCTATGAGGCCCTTATGAGAGTTTCTACCTTATGATAACCTCAACATCTTCCCTTTGTTTCCCCTTTCTTAGGGTGAATCTCCTACCGGCAACTCATACCTCAGTAGACCCCAGTGTTTATTTTTTTAGTCAGGTTTTTTGCGCCTTTTAAATTTTTTCTTGCGTTAATTATGCTTGGATCTTTCTCTTTTCTGGACTAGATCCTGATACATACAAAATTTGGTACCAAGAGTGCTGTCAAGAGAGATAGACAAAATGGGGCTCTGGGATTGGTTTGGGCATATTCATGGCTTCAACACATGACTGAACTCCTGTCCAATGGGGAATGGGCATGTAGTAGCATCACAAATTACCACCAAATATGGATTGTGATGAAATGCCCTATTGAAGCAAGTGTGCAGGAACCAAGCTGTGATGATGATTGTTAAGTACCTCAAGGACTGAGGGGCATGTTGGCCATACTGAATTCTACTGCAGAAGTTGCACAATGAGGTTCAAGGTTCTAAATTCTCAGCTAGAGCTAAGAATGGTGGACCTAAAAGAATGTCTCATTTGTTTAACACAAGCCTACTTCATAGAAAATAAAATTTTAACTGTGGAGTTTCAGAACCACAATGTAAGCTGAATACATAGATTTGCCAAGATTTGGGTGGGAAAGTTAGGATACTGAGAAGGGGGGTGGGAAACCCTTCATATTTGCAAAAGGGAATTCTAGCTGGACTTGATTGCTTCTAAAAATCCAGAGCCTCCAAGTATCCGAGCCCCTCCACAGGGAGAGAACACAGACCTCCCATGTCTGAGAATGCCTAGTCTCCTCACAATGTACTCTTACTCTAGGAACAACTAGAGCCAATGGGGGGGGGGGGGGGGGGGGGGGGGGGAGAGAGAGAGAGAGAGAGAGAGAGAGAGAGAGAGAGAGAGAGAGAGAGAGAGAGAGAAAATCAGACTAGCTTTTCCGCTAGTCAGCTTGCTGACTAAAGAGTCCCGGGTTTGATTCGAGTCAAAGAGACATGTCCAGGTTGCAGGCTTGATCCCCAGTAGTTGGTGTGCAGGGGGCAGCCCATCAATAACTCATTCTCATCATTAATCTCTATATCTCTCCCTCTCCCTTCCCCTCTGAAATCGATAAAAATAGGAGTTGTATCAATTCTTTAACACTCAACTATGACTATAGATTAGAGAAATGTCATCAGAGGACTGTGCAATGATGAAGAGCTCTGCTACTGTCGGTGTGGGTGGGCTCATTCTTACTGTGCGCTTACAGGCAATGGAGAAAGCTCACAGCAGCCCAGATCCAAGGGGCAGTCTCTTCCCTCACTACTAACAGAAATTTTTTGCACAATAATTCTATTCACACACTTTTTCCTTGCCTTAAAATCTTATGGTCTGTTTGTAATCCTCACTGGAGGATATGCCCCCCGACCCTGATTTTAGAGAGAGGGAAAGGAGAAAGATAGACAGAAACAGAGACCCAGCCAGAGAGAGTGAAAAACATCAACTGGTTGCCTCCTGTATGCCCCCAACTAGGGATCAAAGTCACAGCCTAGGTATGTGCCCTGACTAGGAATCAAACTGACAATCTTTCAGTGTATGGGATGATGCTCCAGCCAATTGAGCTACACTGGCCAGGGCTCAATATCTTATTTTTTATCAGAGCACTTGGTTTTTATGAGTTCTTAAATAATAAAATTTCCTTACAACTTATAACAGGAAATTGCAAAATATTCACTGGTTCAAAGAAAACATATTTGGAGGGGGTAGGAGCAGCTGGGGAGAGGTCAATGGGGGAGGGGGGGAGACTTATGTAATACATTAAACAATAAAAAATTCTTAAAAAGAAAATATATTTGGGAAGAGAAGATAATTGCATGATCATTGTTCAATGACCCACAGTCCATTAATTTAGAAAGTGTGACCAAAGATAGATTTTCTTGGTTCTTT